CTGAGATTTCCCTATATTCCCTTGACTTGATTCCAGTCTTTCACTGCTGTGCTGTTGTGACTCTGCCTTGGGTGCCTGGTATGTAGCTTGTGTCCCTGAGTTTAATAACAGATACAATTGAGTGCAGTATAACAAACTGTATATGGCAACTATATAGTCCCTAAATATGGACATTAAAAACAATGCCAGATACTGGATTTACTGTATAATGTTAAACTTTCTCAAATCAATGATCTAGATCCCACTTGGTCAACATAACACATTTTCCGGAGTTGTTGATCTGATCACTATGGAAACCCTCACATGGAGCTCGAAAGATCACAGCGATGATGGATCAAAGTTTGAAAGAAGAGCATTGGACAAGAGTCTGGACAAAGATCTCTATGACAATGCTTTAAATATGAGAGAGAATCTTATTGAACAGGTGAGTAAATGATTGGCTAATTGACAGTGTTGCTGCAGTGGTGACAGGGCTGTTGGAGTAGTGACAGGGCTGCTGCAGTAGTGAGGGGCTGCTACAGTAGTGGCAGGGTAGCTACAGCAATGGTAGCATTGTTGCAGCAATGACAGTGTTGCAGCAGTGACAGGGCTGCAACAGCAAAACTGGCTATAGCGATGACGGGGTTGCCACGGCAATGACAAGATGGATGCAACAGTGACAGGGCTGCTGCTGTCTCAAATTTGATAGTACCGTAAAATCTGTATTAAAAGCCACATCCCCAATAGAGAAGCCGCACCCATTCTTTTTGAACAATCGAGACCCAAAAATTCACCAGGTTGCATATGTGTAGATACTCTAATAGAAGCCGCATTTCCTCTGTTGCATTGTACCATTTTAATAGAAGCCGCGGCTTTTAATACAGATTTTACAGTACATGAATCTGGTGTGATATTAGAAAGTCTTAAATGTGTCTTATATTAATTTTTCTGTTCGAATTTTTACATTTTTGTTTTTTGTCTTGAATGTACATGAGCATGAAGTTAAGCATTATTTACGATGATGTTTTCCAAGAATAGTGCACTGACTCTCATAATTTGTATTTGTATAATTGTATTTTGTGGTTTTCCATAAGTTTTATAAAGTCTGTTGGAATGGAATGAATTATCTGTTTTCTTGTTTGAGTGTGCTGCTAAAACAGGTCTTCATTCACAAAAAAATTAGTTCGTAGTAAGTGCGTAACAAGGTCTGCAATTGATCAGCTGAGGCCTGTTAATCGTTGATGAGATGGCAATGCATTATGGGATAGTGTGCTTGTACATGTAACTTCTGTCATAGTTTATATCTACGAGACATTATTTTTACCTTGTCCCATAATGATAATGAAGTGGCAAGATATATCATAGTCAATGTTGTTGTTAAGTCAACATTTAATGCAATATCGTTTCGCTACATTCAACATTCTGTGACTTTGAATGCAAAATGTTGACAAACCATAATGGTTTTTTGCACCAGCTAGGTGATTTGGACGACAAGATGGCAGAGTTGGTGTTGAATGCTGTTGACGAAGATGTTAGCAATATTTCTACTGAAGAGGTAAGTTAAATACAGTAGTAGTATATTGGATTATTACTTATCTTGATGTGATGAATCTACTTTTTATAGAATTCCACGATGCAGTGTTTTACTGCTGTATTGTTGTGACCTTTGACCCAGTCTTGTAATTAATTATTCGGGCATGCTCAGTAGCTGTCTCATAATGATTCTTAGGAAAATCACACATGTGTGTTAAATCTTATTTTTGTCCCAGCCAGACGTAGTTCGAAATAGGGACTTATATCTATTCCATGTCAATTTTTGTACATCCTTTGACTGATATTATTCTAGGGTAGTACACAGATAAGACATATGTATGTAAATTTGTTTTTCATTTCAATGACTGTAAAAATTTGATTCAAAATGGCTGTCTGATTTACTTTTTGGTCAATAACTGAACAGCTGTTTATATTAACTGGAATTTTCCTAGAAATGAAAAGTTTAGTATGATGATAGCAACATTTGTAAATGCAGCTAGACATGATGAGAAATCTCCTCCATTTTTATTGATGCAGATTTACAGCGCTGTCAGGAGAGCCACTCTGAATCTAAAAGCTGTGCCGTTATTATGTGGCAGTGCATTGAAGAATAAAGCCGTACAACCACTTATGGACGCCATTAATCTGTATTTACCATCACCAAACGAGTGTACGCATGAATTTGTGTAAGTATACCATACATGTAACACTGTTTATTATCCATTAAAATTAGTTGCGTTGCCTAGCGATGTTGATAAGTGAAACAAAGGCTGTTCTCAGCATAATGTTAATCTACATATTCACCTGCTATTGAAAATATTGTTCTTGTAATATTCGCGATATTCTGAATGTTGAAATAATTAAATTTAATTTTAAAATTTTCAAGATAGTTTGAAAGCATTTGTTGGGGGGGGGGGGTTATTTTGCAAAGGTCACATTGAGTCTCTCTCTTGATGATTGCTAAATAAAATTTCCCTTGCCGAAATTCTCAAAAGTTATCTAAGCATTATTATATTGCTGGAGAGTGTAACTTTTCTGAAAGGTGTGTTGTATTGTGTGTAAGCCCAGAAAAGTTCCCTTTTTTGGGGAGTCATCAATTTTAGACTCAGAGACACCTATTGTAGTGAGCTGTTTAATGCTATACCACATGATGTGTTTAATTCTGTTTTCAGCAATCTTATTTTGTGTCCATTCATACGTGACCTGACACACGTATGATCATTATCGCTTCATTTCATGTAAAGAAAGATTCCCTATCGGACAGTGATTTAAATATTCAATGTATCTTTCTCTTCGCAGGCAATACTACGGTAAAGAACTGTGTGCGCTGGCCTTTAAGACAATCACAGATAGGCATCGAGGAGCGTTGACTTTTTTAAGAATCTACTCTGGTAGTATCAAATCAGGAGCTAAGTTATATAATGCAAATAGAGATGTCATGTATGTTACATTTTTTTGCTATGGATTCAAAATGAATCAACAAAATAAAAAAAAGGTTTTCATGATATAATTGTTTAATCATGCCATGATATGACATGTTAAATATCAAAAATGATAAGTACAACTGTAACTTATTATCATTTCCAGGGAGCCTGTTACCAGGTTGTTAATGGCGTACGCTGATGATTTCAAAGAAGTTCCATTAATAACGTCTGGTAATATTGCTGTTGTTATGGGATTTAAAGAGGTATGTGAATTGAGTTTTGAAAGTTCTCTTTCCAACAAAGTTGATAAATAAGTATAGATTGATTTCTGTCTTTTCATCTGTCCGCTTTGATGTCTGTCTGCGTTGTTAACTGTGACACTGTTTTGTCACTTTGATGTGCTATGGTCAGAAATTAATGGATGCAAGTACATGTGTTTTTATGTGTGGTGACTCATTATATAAATATGCTCCATAGTTAGACTACATTGAATGTTGTATATTCATAATCAATCGCCATTTTTACCTTGCTCATAATGATAATAAAGTTGTGAGGTATAGAGCTTACCATTTCTGTTGTTGCCATCATCATCATCTTCATTGTTGTTGTAGTTAACTCCTACTTGTGGCCTTGATAATTCAAGTAATTTTTGTCTAAACCTTCTCCAAAAAGTAATGTTTATTTTTTATGGCTGGCTTATATTTAACTTTGACAGGTGCTAGTCATCGCAAACTTCTTGTCCAATGTGGATCTGATGCAATGTATACATCATATTTAAACATTTATTTCTGGCCAGCTACAGACAACACTTGGAACTATATTTTGCAACCAAACTTTCCTACTGCAATTTCTTCACAAACTAGGGGTGTGCCTATTTGCTTATAATCAGCTTAACAAATCTATAGACTGGGAAGGTGTACCTTTTGTATTCCGCAGCCCTAACACTAACTTTAACACTACACTCCAGGACTAAATTGTATATGCTCATCCTATGAACATCTATGTTTATCTAGAGGGGGCATATACAATTGGATTGGGGCTGGAAGTGAGTATAAAACACTAACTTTTGATTCTACACTAGACTATCACAGGAGACACCATTGTCAGCTCAAAATCTGTGCTGGAAGCTGCAAAGCGAGCCAGACAGAGACAGCTGAAAGAAGAAGGGAAACTTGATGCCAAAGAAGTAAAAGAGATGAGAAAACATAAACATAATAAACACAAACGTAAACATAAAGAACTATCCAGCGATGTTCCCGTATTAGCCGGTTTGGAGGTACCAGAACCTGTTTTCTTTTGTACAATTGAAGCACCATCTATCTCGCAACAAAAAGGTAGGGAGAAATATTAAAATATAGAGATTGTTGACGTTCGGACACAGATACAAAATTGTCTTATTCACTACGTTCAATTACCCACCATAGACTCCGGTCAGTCAAAATGACTATTTTGAACTGTTGTTTTCCCCTTTGTGTGTAGTATTTTTCACAACAAAGAAATTAAAATCCGGCGCCACTACATAACCAGTTGGTTTTCATGGGGGCACCTTTTACAACTGTAATTCGTTTCCCTCATGCATGTCGTCTTTTATTTTCAATGTATTTAGCAAAATATAGATGTAATGACAGCACCAGGGCTCGCTGCCGTTTTCTTTCCGGTCTCCTCGTGTTTCGAGTAGACCGTGCAGTGGTTATATTCAGAATTTACCATCATAAAACCCGCATCCGAGATACTTTGTCATAGCTACGTGCGGGTTTTGGGGTTTTTTGCGTGAAAGCGTGTTTTTTTCACTGGAGTTCTGAGGCCTGAGATTTTTATTCAGAGCCATCAAAATCACTGAGACTGACCGCGTCACAGCAAGGTCATCCCTGGCATCCCAATTGCATCCCTGGCAGGCCGGGTAGATCAGACGCAGTCGGAGCGAGCTGTCTCCACTGTGTCCCCTCGGTGGGCAAGCTGGAAGAGACACAAAAGCATGTTTGCATTCAAACACGTCTCTTCCGGGGAACCCCTGTTCCCAGTCACGGCTCTCCCACTATTTTGCTGGCAGCCAAGTCTCTGATCTCGGGGCAGGGGTTCCAGGGTAGGGCACACGTTGACCAACCCCACTTTCAGCCAGCTAGGGTTCGTCATGCGGTAACGGTACAACAGTAACGAATTTATCCTTGTGTCCGGTCTCCGCTGTGGGTTTTGACTCCTTTTTTACAGACCCACGAGCGTCCCGAGAGGGAACAGACCCTGTCATGAGACACACAGTCGAACACGCTCCCTCTCACATATTTAAAGTGCAAGGAGACGCAGTTCGCTCGCGTCGGATACAGCCGGTACTCCGGGCGGTCCCTCAGAGTCTTCCATCTGTATGACTCGGTGAGCCATGCTTTTGGAGTGAGGCGGAGTATCATCGATCCGAGTGATACGATGTATATACCCCCACCCTTGATCCTAAAGTGACCACC